GTACCAGATCTGCGAAGAGATCGGTCGTGGTCGTTTCGGAACCGTCACTCGCGTCTATGCTCCGACCACCGGTGATTTCTTCGCCTGTAAAACCATCGAGAAGAGCTCACTCACCGACGCTCTTGACCGTGCCTGCATCGACAACGAACCAAAACTCATGGCTCTCTTGTCTTACCACCCAAACATTGTTCAAATCCACGATCTGATCGATACTGATTCGACTCTCTCCATTTACATGGAGCTTGTAGATCCTTCCGTTTCGATCTACGACCGTTTGGTTTCTTCCGGTACGTTTTCAGAGCCTCAAACGGCGTCGTTCGCTAAACAGATTCTTCAGGGTCTTTCGCATTGTCATCGATACGGCGTCGTTCACAGGGACATTAAACCGGAGAATATTTTGGTGGATCTGAGGAACGATACGGTTAAGATCTGTGATTTTGGGTCTGGGATTTGGTTGGGTGAGGGAGAGACCACAGAAGGTGTGGTGGGGACGCCGTATTACGTAGCGCCGGAGGTTTTGATGGGTTGTGAGTACGGAGAGAAAGTCGATGTTTGGAGTGCCGGTGTGGTGTTTTACACGATGCTCGCCGGAGCTCCTCCGTTTTACGGCGAGACTGCGGAGGAGATTTTCGAAGCTGTGCTTAGAGGAAATCTGAGGTTTCCGACTAAAGTTTTCAGGGGGGTTTCTTCTATGGCTAAAGATTTCTTGAGGAAGATGATATGTAAAGATGCTTCTAGAAGATTCTCAGCCGAACAAGCTCTAAGTAAGATTCCTTGTTTCCTTAATCATGTTTCAAGATCTGTCAACTATTTAAAGTTCTGATTTTTAACAAAACCCTCTAAACAGAAAAAAAAAGAGAGTCAAATTTGTATACGTTTTGAGATCTACAAGTGATTAATTACTGGTGTTTTTTGGTATGATTTTGCAGGGCACCCATGGATTCAAAGAGCAGGAGAAACAGAGGAGAGATTCATCTGAAGAAGATTCGGATAATATAAGAGAATAAATAAAGGAGTAGTAGTAATTACTAATTAGTAATGAGACTTTTGTGGGGTTTATTTGGTCGTCTTTTTAACAGGTGGAGTGTGCGAGTGTGTGGGGCATGTAAATTTGGCTTTGCCATTGTAAATTCCGCCTCTACCAACAAGAAGAAGAAGACTCTTCTAGAAAAACGCATTAAAAAAAGGAGCTAAAATAAAGGAGGTTGATGGATGCATTCTTCTTCTTCTGAGTTTGGCGATGAG